CTCTCTCTCTCTCTCTCTCTCTCTCTCTCTCTCTCTCTCTCTCTCTCTCTCTCTTGCACGCTCGTTGTAATAGATAACATAGTGGCAGGAATGACGCGACGAAACGTTACTGAATAAATATTAGAGGTCAGCTCGGCATACGGCGAGATCGTTCAGCATTCTAATTGTCGTATGACGTTATCGCGCGCACATAAGTCTCCATGTTAGCGCCGCCGCGCGCTTCACAGGTGCGCGCGTTTTTTGCGTAGAAACTGCTGCGCGTATTCGCGCACATCCACACCCGCGTCCGCGAGTTCTCCGCAGAGGTGACTCCGTCCCGACGCATTTCCAGTCTTGTTTCTCGGTCGCCGCCTCTTTTTTTCGGATTCCTTCTCGCGTCGGACTGGCGGATTGCGATTCTCACCGTCGGCGGAAGCTGCACGTCGGTATCGCAAATCCCTCTGCACTGGGATTCTGTAACCCGTTATTGGAGTTAACGACAGCTTCGTTATCGTTGCGCAGCTTTTCTACCGTAGAAAAGCTCGCAACGATATCGAAACTGTCGTTAACTCCAATAACGAGTAACAGAATAGGGCTACAGGGGATTCTGTAACCCGTTATTGGAGTTAACAACAGCTTCGTTATCGTTGCGCAGCTTTTCTATACCGTAGAAAAGCTCGCAACGATATCGAAACTGTCGTTAACTCCAATAACGAGTCACAGAATAGGGCATCACATTGATCGGCCTGTTACCGCCGACATAATCAAGCAGTGCCACCAAATATAGAAAATCAAATCGATGATTTAAACGACTGCCTGCTCGATTCCCGCTTCCTCGGCGTCAATGCAAATTTCAATTGCGTAGCAAGTTATGTTGAAGTCATGTGTGTCATGCTTCTTGATAAAGTGGAAAATTAACTCTCACTTTCTGTTTCTCAGGGATTCTGGGGATTCTGTAACTCGTTATTGGAGTTAACAACAGCTTAGTTATCGTTGCGCAGCTTTTCTATACCGTAGAAAAGCTCGCAACGAAAGCGAAACTGTCGTTAACTCCAATAACGAGTCACAGAACAGGGCTACAGGGATTCTGTAACTCGTTATTGGAGTTAACGACAGCTTCGTTATCGTTGTGCTTTTCTATACCGTAGAAAAGCTCGCAACGATATCGAAACTGTCGTTAACTCCAATAACGAGTCACAGAATAGGGCATCACATTGATCGGCCTGTTACCGCCGACATAATCAAGCAGTGCCACCAAATATAGAAAATCAAATCGATGATTTAAACGACTGCCTGCTCGATTCCCGCTTCCTCGGCGTCAATGCAAATTTCAATTGCGTAGCAAGTTATGTTGAAGTCATGTGTGTCATGCTTCTTGATAAAGTGGAAAATTAACTCTCACTTTCTGTTTCTCAGGGATTCTGGGGATTCTGTAACTCGTTATTGGAGTTAACAACAGCTTAGTTATCGTTGCGCAGCTTTTCTATACCGTAGAAAAGCTCGCAACGAAAGCGAAACTGTCGTTAACTCCAATAACGAGTCACAGAACAGGGCTACAGGGATTCTGTAACTCGTTATTGGAGTTAACGACAGCTTCGTTATCGTTGTGCTTTTCTATACCGTAGAAAAGCTGCGCAACGATATCGAAACTGTCGTTAACTCCAATAATGAGTCACAGAATAGGGCTACAGGGATAACTCGTTATTGGAGTTAACGACAGCTTCGTTATCGTTGCGCAGCTTTTCTATACCGTAGAAAAGCTCGCAACGATATCGAAACTGTCGTTAACTCCAATAACGAGTCACAGAATAGGGCTACAGGTCTGGTTTTCGCGCGTAGGTATGCGCGAAATTGTTTTCCTTCACGCGTGCATGACCCTTGCTCTTTCGGACGAGTGATCGTCTGCTTTCGCAGCTGATGCCGCTAACGCTCCAATTTATGCGCCATTAACGGACGTCTGTCTCGTTTTGTGTAAACGTGTTCGGGAGAATGTCTATACGCACAAGGAGACGTTTTTTCACATGTGTGCACCACGAACAATCGACGTGATAGTTTCGTGCGACACCACGCATCACGTGCGCTCGCACAGCCGCAACAGATATGCCTTAACTTTTCATTTTTTTACACACAACAAACCATCGCACATTCGCGACTCAACCTTATCGATACTAAAATTGGATTGTACTCGAAATGGAACGTAGAACATTTCTCAAGGCGCTCGCGCGTGTTTCACAATCTCCGCGAGTTCTCGGCCGCATTGATACTTGGTCGCGTCGGTTTAATTGGGCCTCGTTTCACTCGAGGGTCTCGTGCAGCAATCGCGATTTTGAAGTCTGTTCCGCCGAAGAAGCATCTTTCCAGGCAGCGAGGTGTCATCGTTAGAAGGAAGCGCACAAGTGCGTGCACTTGCGACGCTTCAACACGCAGGCCGTCGCGTTAATTTCCACGAATTGTCCCGTTGCCTCAAATTTTCGTATAATTTTGGGCGTTTATAAGCGGATAAATTCCTTTATAAAATGCGGCGTGATCAATTTGTCAATTTCTATGTTATTAACTTATTATTTATTATTTCAGTTATTTTTTTTATATAAGCCATTTGTTGCATTCTCGTTCATTTTCCATCTACAAGTAGTTTGCCGTCAACTTTACTTTTCCCTTCTCTCTCTCTCTCTCTCTCTCTCTCTCTCTCTCTCTC